GCCATTCTACATTCTTATTTATTAACCCTTGAAGGGGTCGAAGTTTCCTAAATAATATTTAAAAATCTCTAATCTCTCTCTCGTAATAAGTAAGTCCTTCCTCCTTAGCCTTGCATAATACTGTTGATTAAATCCTGAAGAGTCTCACAAATAATTTTCTTGGAACGGTCTCTTACGAATTCAACACTGAAATTCCCGAGATCAACGCATGCCAATTATATTACATACTCCTGTATCTTCGAATTGCAGGCGATAAAGGATAAATCAATTTCTCAGTAAAATTACTGGCCTTGTTTAACAGCAATGTAATTTTTGAAAAATATTCGAAGCGCATTGGTCTTTGCCGCATCGATAGGTTTAGCGTTAACAGAAAGTACTTATTTTCCTCTAAAAACCAATTAAATATTTTGTACGTGTTCCCTCTACAGATAATTTAATCGAGAGTAAACCATTTACAGAAGGCAGTTCAGCCGATTCAATAACAAAATATCGTACAATTTTTGTAGTTTCGTGTTCTAGATGAAGATCAGAAAAAACGAGATGGTTCTCGAAAGGGACGAGGAAGTTCGTCCCTTCGATCGAATGTGTCATTTGGTACCTGGGTCACGTAGCTCTTCGTATTGACAGGCCAAGCAGCCAACCAGGCACCCTCTACTTCTCTCGCTTACTTCAGCTCTTGTTCCAAGCTTGGCCTTATCCGACTCCTGTCGAACAATCGCGGTTTTTATATGTTATCCTCTGATACTTACAGCACAAGATCATCGACGTCATTAATCGAGATCCTTAATATCGAACCCAAATTTAACCAATTGACGCTGAAGTAATTGTCCAGATTAAACTGCCTGATATACATCCGAAAATTATCATTTTTTTTTTTTTTGGAAGCCGAAAGTTTCTTGATCGAGAACATTTAAATATACGATAACGACGCGATCGTGTCTTTACGATATTAACTTCACACGAAACAGTGCCTACTAATTACTTACAAGAATTTCTTTTTATTTTCAGAATTTTGGGTGAAGCAGTTATGATACAGCGATGAGCCTGCAGGCCCAGGCTCAAGCGCAGCGCCCTGCCAGGTACTCCCCTCAGGAGACCGTCAAGGTAAGAAATCGTCATTCAAGGACTCTCAGTACGTTCCTGATTACAAATTATTGTAATGTGCCTCTGAACATTTGTGAATACATATGCGTATAAGTTTATTCATGTACGTATTTATAACGGAAAATTCATTTGGTAATATCAAAAATATTCCTACCCTTTATGTCTATTGAACAAATTTGTTTAAATTAAATGGTAGGTTTGATGTTTCCAAGTGTATGTTTGTATAAATATGTTGATGAATATATTTATTCATACAGATATTTGTAATGAAAGATTCATTTGGTAATATCAAAACTATTATTTAATTTAGTCAAACATTTACAATAGACGCGGAGGGCAGGAATATTTATTGGATCGAGTGTATCTCCCGCGACACATGCTTAACTCGTCGCATTTACACACAGTTTCTCCTATCAGCTATTATTTGGATCACGAGGATCCCCGTGGAGCCACAGTCACGGTTATTTTACACAAATTGGAAGCAATACGCCTGACGTAAATTGCATTCGTTTTACTTGGCGAGCTTAACGCAATTAACACGAGCACTCTCCTCGTTGATATCGTCGCCACGATTCACTCCTCGTCCCGTTCATCGTTGGGATTAATCCTGTACGTGTTCGAGTGTACGCGACCTTGTATTACTTCCCGCGTACTCTGGATTCCGGTTCAGGCGAGAATCAGGGGAAAAAGTGCGCGAAAAGTTCGTCTCTGTAATTATAAAATGCGAAAACGGATTGTACCGCATGTTTCAGATGCGATTCGAGACAGTTGAAGTGGTAGAAACGCTGCGATGTGCAACGATATAGTCGAATTACCTGGCCTCTGTTGTTATCTTCGAAACCGTTTCACAAAAGGGATTCTGGGATTTATTTTCTAATAAAGAAATCATAGCTGTAAAGTAATGATTACTTTTGTATTCATTAGAATTTGGAATAATTATAAAAGAGTTCGTTCAGCACGAGGGCCCAATTTTTTCTTTGACCTGTTTTAAATCACTGTCTGTAACGAAAAAGATTGCATAATCACTATCGCACTTATACAAAAAGTATAATCCTACAAATATAGTACTCCTCGATCCATTCGTCTTCTACCTTTGACATTTTCCTCTAAATACGCTAATAACGGAGTTATGATTTATCACTCGAGAAAACCTTGCACAAAGAGTGCAAGAATCTTGGCGATAATCGAAACAGGGAAAAAGCCGAAGGATGCAAAAATTCAAACCATTAAAACGTGTGGCTACGCAGCGAAGTATCGTTCGAATGGGTTGCCATTCATTTTCTCAGAGTCGCACGCAACGCGTTTGATGTTTAAAGAGTTTTTATCGTTTTCCGACCAAGAACGAGAATAAAAAAAGGCGATTACGGTAAGAGAGGAGGAGGGAGGGGGGGGGATGGGAGTATAGAAACGAGGGAATTCCCTCGCAAGGATGTGGAGATATAACTGTATACACGGGAAGGTATCGGGTATAATTTTCCACGTGAGTGCACCGCTGGCTCGTCGCTTTTTCCTAATGACTGTCTTAATTAATATCTCGCGAGTAGGCGCGGTTGCGCCGACCTGTCTGCACACACGAACGCGACCTTATCGGCCCCTCGTCCCCGTCGTTTCAAGGATAATTTTCCGCGCGAATGCACGGACTTCACTCTCGCTCGTCGTCGACAAACCGACGGTGCGGCGACGCTGGCCGTGTCCGTTGCTCTTTTCCTCGTGCTTCTGGCACCGACATCGCCGGACGTCGAGAGCCATCGCCGCTCGAGTGCCCATCCCGTCTCGTGCGGATGACAAAAATTCTAAAACGATCTTTCCTCTTCTTCTGAAACGAAAGACCTTTCAAACGGCGCGTTCCGTTACTCTACCTGCGACATTTTCAAGTCGATCAATTTTGATTGCGGGTTATTTGTTCGATGGTGTATTTTCTTTTTAACCCTTTAACCCGACAGACAAATTCGCAGAGTAAATGAAACAAAACGAAAGTAACATCACCAAACCCTAAATCATCGTTACACCACAGTTTTGAAAACACGTCGCCACAGATTTTAATCAGCGAGCATCTTCCTTTCGCGGGGCGTGATCGCACGTCTAGCCTATCTTTCGCTAAGGCTGCCGCTAAATGGCCGAGATTTTCCGCCCGTGGTTTCGCTCCCTTCGGACGTCGGGCCAGCTAGACGAAGACGAAGAGATTTTGGTCTCACGAAGAGAGCCACGCCCCGGTCATGAGAAGACGAGGCGATACCATTTTGCAACCCTCCTGGTAGCTGCCAAAATCCCTCGGGCCCACCTCCGACGCTCCGTTGCGTAGATAATTAAAGATACAACGCCTACACCTTTCGTGCCGTACCGAGAAGGGTACCGCTCTTCTCCGCGTTGCAGGATCCACCGCGGGGATGTGAGAGCCCGCCTAAATTGGATTACGCGTGCAGAATCTTACCGTGTTGCGCGAGTAACACGTCCTTACCGCGAAAATTCAGGGTGGATAAGGTTATCGCGATGTTCGCGAAATACCCGTAGAATTTTCTCTGCCTCGAGTCTTCTTTCGGGAAATTCCACCGGAAGTCACGTTGGACACACGCGGCTACGGTCTACCCTCTCGAGGAGGGTCTCCCTAGCATTGGAGTTCCAGCGAGTGGAACTTCAGCGGTGAACCACGGTGAAATAAATAGAATAACGTTTTCTGCTGGCCGAAGTTCGTGTCCAATTGTCGAGGGGTGGAAATTAGGCGATAAGGGTGCCAAACTTGTGGGCAATTTTTGGGGAAGAATCAATGTCTTTTTAATGTTGTTAAAATTCGTAATCGTGTTCTCTACTTGTGGTTTCATCTGATTCAATTTTTAATTGTGTGAGAAAGGGTGGACATTAAGTTTACCAATTTACATATAGTACGTCATAATTATCCATTTTTTTTATTTTCACTCAGTCCTTGTATCTGTTCTTAATATTTTCAATAAATACAGTAGAAGTGTGTTTCTTTTAAAATGAAAAAAATCGTAGTTCCTTCTGCATTCATGTGCATTCTGCAATAAAATTCATTCTTGCTTTAGAATCGAAGAAAATCTGACCAAGCATCCTCCATTTTTAATTAGTGCTTGTTTCTAATCTTTTAAATAAATACAGTAGAAGATTGTACACATCTCAAAAAGAAAAATCACAATTCTTTCTACAGTCGTACGCATTCTGCGATCCTTCCTTTAAAATCGTAGAAAATCTGACCAAGCATCCTCCATTTTTAATTAGCGATTGTTTCTAATCTCTCAAATAAATACAGCGTAGAAGAGTGTTCCTCTTGAAAAGAAAAATCACAGTTCCTTCTGCATTCTGCGATCCTTCCTTTAAAATCGTAGAAAATCTGACCAAGCATTCTTCCACGTTATCCGATCGATTATCCATCGTACAGCGAACTCGACTCGTTACTAGGTTGCACACATCACGGAAGAATGGTTAACAGAGAGTAGAGTAATGCTTGCGAATGATCTCGCGGGTGTCAACGTGAAAGTTATTGCACGGGGAAAAAGAAGCGTAGGGGCGGAAAGCGGTCGGAGGGTGTGCATCTCGCGTAGCGTAAATGCCTTCCGCGCGTATTTGCACGGTCAGACATCGATTAGGCGTTCGAGGATCGATTTGACCGTTGTATCAGAATTGCCAACAGTATCTCCGTGAATGCCTCTCTCGAACTCTCTACCCTCGATACCCGTTTCTCGTAACATATTGAGCATACACGAGTCAGGGGGAAGCTATCGTCGTATTATTATCGATATCTCGAATGTGTTACGAGATATTGTCTCGAGATTTCGTACGGGCGACGTACCAGCTTCCTTCCCTTCGATTTCTGTTGGAGTTTATTTATATAGGCGTGGAGCCTGACATTTTTCTTAAGTGCTATTATTATCGTTGATCGTAAATTTGGAAATTACAATTAAATTCACGAGTCAGTACGAGGATTGTTATTATAACTTAGAATGATAAGGAAATGGCGCGGATAGATGAGGCAGGAAATAAAATTGTAAAAATGATTAATGATCAACTTGAGTGGAAGCACGTATAGTTGAAGTTGATAGACAACAAGGAAAGCTCGAATGTATAAACATAAAATAAAATCTATGTTAAAGGATAATACAGCCCTAAATTATTCGATCTGTTTTTTTTTTTAAATCAGGTTGTACGAAGGTAGGGAAGTCGAGGAACGTCGAGATAAGGTGCTCCCCAGTTTTTCACGTTGCCGAATTTTCCGCGTCCATGCCCGCGTGGCACGATAAGCCTTTAATCGAAGATTAATATTACCGGGGTTGTTTGGCAGAGCCCCCTGTCACGCATCGCGATTAAGGGTGGACCTTACGTGCCGTGGGCAACTCGTTCTCTTCGTCTTTCCTCTTCATTTTGCTTTTATTTCTCTCCGTGGATGTTACTTTGCCTCTCTACTCTCTTAGTACATCATAAATTTTCTACTTTTTTTTTTTCCTTCACTCTCAACGATTCTGTCTGCAGATGTTTACAGCGCCCTTTTTTCCATACCTTGAACGTGACTTTCAAGTTTGTAAAGAGAGACCATTCCTACCATTTTCTTCAACGTTTCGGTCAATCTCGAGAAAAATATGTAAAATTCATTTACGCGAATAATGCGATGTATCAGAAAACGTATAACGAACAAAGTAAATATGCAGGGTGTTCAAAGAAAAAAGCATTTAATATTTATATGGTGTATAGGGTACAGTGTATCGAGTAAAAAAAGTTTTAGTAAACATAGGTCCAAAGGTCAACCGTTTCTGAGATATAAACATTTTTGTTTGCTGGTATCGTGATTGATTTACTAGTGGGTTTTCGATATTTATAGAAGACTTTTCCACGTGTCCACCGCTCATTTCTGTACACGAAATTGAAAAAATGAAATCGACGAAATTGTCGGCACTTAAATGCCTTAACTTTTATCCAGATAACAAATAACGGTAAAGAAGCGAGTTTTATTAAAAAAAAAAAAACTTAGCGAAACAATTTCGAACAATTATCGAGATAAGGATTTATTCGATCAATCCCCAACGACAATATTTTAATATTCCTGTGACTAGTATTTTGATTGTTTCACTTACACGAAAGAACGATAAATAAGAAAGTTCCGGTATCGCATTAGGGGAATAAAGACGCTCATAAATCAAAAGTCGGTATTAATTGCTGTATCAACAGTAGGGGAAAAGTTCACATATGCACCCCGGGCACCCTATTAATTATTCCCTCTTTAAATGTCGTATAAATCGTTCCAATTAGTGGTAAAAATGTAATTAAGATTCATATTCGTTTACACATATATAATATTTGCTCATTGTAACGTACTTTATTTTGTTATTATCGAAATCAATAGTACACAGTTTATCCTGCTACGAAGTTGAAAGTTTGTTTGAACAAAATTCGTAAATCAGCATACGATCGAAGTCTGTTCAAAGTTTAATATAGCAAGCGATAAACACAACGTACCACTTGATATAATAAAAGCTCTCAATGATACGGAACATTTAACGGATGTAATTTCGTTTATCAACGATTTATAATACCTCAGCAACGTTATTTAAAGAACAAATCGCTCAGTAATCGCTAATGACCTGTGGAGTTGATGCGACTAAAAGTAAACATATAAAAAAAAAGAAGAAATTCGAAAATAAATAGAATCACTCCGGTGTCGATTAATTTTCAACGAAAAAGGTTAAATCTGTACTTATCGCTTCAAGTTAACCAGTTTCGGGCGCGTTTGGAACTCGAACGAAAACATTGGCGAGTGTAACCTCCAAACTTTCCTCCAGCCCTCTTTCGGACCCTCTTGCTCTCGTTGTCGTAAGAATTGAGAATCGATACCGGTGGAGTTTCTGCAACTTGACGCAAGGACTTCGGGGGTGGTGGAA